CTCAAGGCACACGAGTTCGCTATGTTCTGTGGAGTGAAAAGGTGTCGATGCCCTTATTAGTTTCACATTGGTAGCGGAGCCTCGGGGCCGTTCCCGGGGTTCATGTCGTTCCTGGCAGTGTGTGTCAGCATCCTGGTCTATGTCGTCGAGCTCTGCGAACTCCAGAAAACTTCTCTGCCTTTAGATTGTGCTCTGAGGCGGCGATCTTGTGGGCTGGCGCCGTCGTGCGCTACTTTGTCTTCTCCGTCCTTAGATTGTGCTCTGGGGCGGAGATCTTGTGGTCTGGCACCGTCGAGTGCTACTTTGTCTTCTTCGTCTTTAGATTGTAATCTGAGGCGGAGATCTTGTGGTTTGGCGCCGTCGTATGTTGCTGTCACGTCCTGCGCAACTATGCGCTCTGCACGGCCGTCCTCCTTGCGAGCTTCGTTTACAACGATTTCCGTGGCAACCTCGCTCTCTGTGATACGATCATCGCGTTTGCCAACGTTGTCTATGGTGAGAAGGAGAACGCTGGTCATATCAGCATCCTCCCGGGAGGTGCCGTCGAGGTCCTCAGCATGTACGTGCAGACCCTTTACAAGTACATCTTTCACGGCATCATCACTCACCACTGAAACATCGGCTACCACATTTTCTACATCAATATGGTCGGCTACTACATGCTCTACATCAACATCGTCGCCTACCGGATGCTCTACATCAACATCGTCGACTACCGCATGCTCTACTCCCACATCACCGACTACAACATCCTCTACATCAACATGGACGACACCTTCTACGTCAACATCGTCGACGCTGGCGGCCACACTTTCTACACCCACATCGCCGACTACCACAGCCTCTACAGATGAACCGCCGGCTACCACATCTTCTGCATCAACATCGTCGCCTACCGCATGCTCTACGTCATCATCGCCGACTACCTCGTCTTCTACATCAAGGACTACAACCTCTACGACATCAACATTGCTAACGGCCACTGCTTCTACACCCACATCATTGACTACCGCATCCTCTACATCAACCTATTCGCGGACGCCATCCTCCAAGCCAACATCGTCCACTACCACATCTTCTACATCAACAATGCTGGCGACCACACCTTCTACACCCACATCAGCGACTACCACATCCTCTACACCAACATGGACGACACCTTCCACGTCAACATCGTCGACGACCACATCTTCTACAACAACAATGCCGGCGACCACACCTTCTACATTTACATCGGATGCTTCGCATCTGAAGCTGGTATCCCTTCGTACATTTACATCATCGACTACCACACCCTCTGCATCAACCCGTTCGCCGACGACATCTTCTACATCAACATCGTCGTCTACTACATCCCCTATGTCAACAATGCCGGCGACCACACCTTCTACATTTACATCATTGAGTACCACACCCTCTGCGTCAACCTGTTCGCCGATGACATCTTCTACATCAACATCGTCGTCTACTACATCCTCTACGTCAACAATGCTGGCGACCACACCTTCTATGGCCACACCATTGACTACCACATGCTTTACATCATCATGCTCGCCGACGACATCGCTGCACATCAACATCTTTACTACCGAATCCTGTGCATCATTGCTTTTGATAGCCACATCTTCTACATCAGTGCCGGTCATATCTTGTACATCGACAGGCTCGTCGACCGAATCTTCACCATCAACATTACCAATGACCACACCCTCTACATCAGCATCTTCAATGAAGACATCTTCTACGTCAACATCATCGACTACTACAGGATCAACGCCGGCCTCACCCACCAATACTTTCTACGACGAGACCCTTTTCGGCCACATGGTGTATGAAAGCTTCCCTTATGACCACAGCCACTACGCCAGCAGCCACATTTGCTACAATCGCATGCTTTACACGACAATGGCCATCACGAGAACACCATCTACGACTACAGCTTCTACAGCTTCATCCTTCACGACTGCTCCTTGCACAACACCACGTAACGCAACCACATCGTCAGCATCCAACTACATTGCGCCGACGTCCTCCGTGGCCTCCTTCACAACTGCATCCGTGACAACGACATCATCAATATCCACGCGCCGCACAGTCTCATCCATCACGGCTGAGATCGCTACGAGAGTATTCGCGACATCCACATCCTTTACGACCACATTGTTTACAGCGATGGCCTCTACAACAACGTCCTGCGCAACGACGTCATCTACAAGCACGTGCTTTACGACAAAGTCCACTACGGCCAGGTTCGCTACAGGTGCACGCTGCACTGCAACATCTTTTACGACAGCGTCATGTACCACAACACCTTCTACGACCACATCCCGTGCAACCACGTTGTTTGCAGCGGCAGTCCCTGGGACGCTCCTCGCGCTCTCATTTCTTGTGATTACGACGTCTATAGCAGCGCTCTTTCCGGGCGCGTCTTCTGCAACCACACCATTGTTCCGGACGACAGTGACCTCGTCTACGGCCACACAGTCCTCGACGAAGAGCCCAACAACCACGTCTGTGATCACAGCTTTCGCGGCAGCAGTGTCTCTAATCACATCGTTTACAAGCATGTCGCCATCTACTATTGAAGGAGTGCTGCGGGACATCATTTGTTACAACTGCGTGTTCTACGACCACACAGTTTATGCCAACATTGTCTGCAATGACGATATCAACAAGAGCATCGTTGACGATTCCGTCCTCTACGACTTCGCCTTCTGTGGCACCATGGTCTGCAGCAGCGTGCTCTACAATTTGCATGCCTTACCAGCACTTGCTCAGCTACTGCATCTGCTGCGGCTGCGCCTTTGGGGCAAACCTCCGTGCGAGATATACCACAGCTTCCACAACATCCGGATCGCCTACAACCTTTGGAAGGAACACTGTCGGAAGCGATATCATCCTCAACGACAAGTACCAGCACCTTTCAAGGCTTGCACCACTGGCATCGCTACCAAAAGACCATCCAGCTCGAAGCCCCGGCTTGGCCTGCAGAAAAT